AAGCTAACTGACAATCGGTAACATTGAATAGCAAAATTGTTTTCTACAATATTTTTAATTCAATTCTCTTTAAACAAAAAACTTAATTAAGAAAGCTGTTATTTGTTATAACTTTATAGATTTCTTTTTAATTAAAAATTTTTCTAATTATAGATTTATATTTCTTTCTAATTAGAAAATAAATGGTGCACTTGTGTGTCTAGTTTAATAAAATTACTTAGTCCATTTTTCTATCAAAACCCTTGCAATCACTCAATATATCCTATATTATTAAAAAAACGTCGAAATTATTTTTGTATGCAGATGAATAACTGTCTCTCTCTCAAGTGCGTTTTAACAAAAATATTCAAATGTATAAAATATTAAAATATTGTCCCCTCCATTTTAATACCATTTTATTTAAGATTAAATCTAAAGTATTAAAAATTGTTATTGAGTAAATAAAAATAGAGTAACGTAATACAAAATTCAAATAAATAATCCGAGATGTCTTATGAAAAACAAGTCAACATTGTTAATGTCATATTTGAAAATAAATCAGGTAAAAATAAAATTAAAAATTAGATAATTAAAAATATTTACAATAATAATAACAAAAATTAAAAAATTTATTTGTCTCATCACGATGTAATGTTGTTCAACAGACGAGATATCAAGTGCGATTCGGCTGCTTTTACGTGCGCGATAAGACGCATAATCGATAAACACACTACCAAATAATTAAGACTGTACCAAGGTCGAATCAATATCGTCGTGTAGGATGTTTATCCACATCGCGATTTCCAAAACGATCATATGCAACATATTCCAGACATAACGCATACTACGCTGCTCACTACATTATGCATGCAATCAATTTTTGTGCAATATGTATCTTAAAAACGTTATTAATTAGATTTTTTCGACCCAAATTTCAATGATTTTGTGACGCATTCAAATGTAAAATATCATAAAATATGTTATATTTCATTAAAATAATAAATTATTAACGTTAAGTCCTTTTCTATCCTATATTATGTTTAACATATATGTAAAAAAAAAAACGAATACGATGAGATAGTTAAATCGAAAAGGGAAAAGCAAAGCAGAGACCTATGAAGGTAAAAAACAAAGTCGCGGGCAACACGCGCGAGCAATACATCTTCGCGCGTTGCTATTTGATCGAAGGGGTTCTTGCCCCGGCGTAAGATCAAGATCGCAGAGAAAAGAAAGATTACAGCTTATCCGGCACGCGGAGCACGTAAGAAAACCGAAACGAAAGCGCGCAGATCTCTCGTATGGTCCAGCTGCTATTATAAACGCGTGCGTCGCAATCCATTCGACTTGATCCGGTCCACCAATTGAATCAATTCGCTCGATTAAAAAAGCGAGACAAGATTTACACTCAATAAAACAAAGCTTATTATTTTCTTTAATAATAATTCTCTCGTTTCTCAGTTATTTTATATAAATTGCTTATTTTTTTCATTCATATCCTAATTG